TGGAGAGATTGTGTCTTAGTCGCTTGTAAACGTTCGATCACCTCTTTCCATGGTAAGAATAAACCAATAATAGTAGCTACAGTTGACACATCCATTGTAGGAAGAGTGTGAAGGGCACCCTTCTCACTTGCAATACTTGTTAAAGCTGAATATGACGACATAATACTTTCGAGCAATTGTGACATTGTGAGACATCGAACGATTATTACTTGTTTGATCGTTGGCTTTCTTAATGCTTTCAGCTTAGAATTCCAATTAGCCTAAATAAAATACGGATGAAAGCTCTTAAGAGAGGTTTGGCCAGTCCATCGAGAATCGCTGGAGAATGATTAAAAAAAAAAAAGTTACTTTTTTTTTATCTCATTCGATTTCTTGAACAAAAGTAAGATTATGAAAATCTTTTTAGATCTTCAGAACTTTTCTTAATGGAGCTATAGGCTTACGGATAAGAGGGGGTAAAAAAAATCTCAAGAAAAACAGGCTTTTCGTTTTTTCCAGTATTTCGACTATAACTTCGTCACTTTTCATCCTTTTTTTCTGCACCACGTCTCATTCGAAAGAGCCCATCAAACTGAACAAAAATGTCTCTTATGAACCTTCCAAAAAGTGAAAACTTCATAGGGAAAAAATGCATCTTTCAAAGCACCCCCATTTTTCGAAACCAAATTTTTTTCAGTGCAAGCCATTTTTCGAGGTTACAGAAGTCGAATAGGAAGGTAAGACCCTTCCAGAAAGCTTAATTATAAGATTTCCATTCAAACGTTTGTCCGTAAGCAAGTTTCAGATCCAATAGAATATCGTAAATATTTAAATTCAACCGATGATTTGAAAAAGATTAATAATTGAAATTTTCTTTAGAATAAATATATCCTATTTAAAATAAGTTACCTTTTGTGTACATTGAATATTTATTTAAAATAATTAAGTGTTTCTTCCAAATGTTTTGACAAATCTTCTGTAGAAATAAGACTTAAAGCTGATTTCAAACACATTAATGTTATTGAAAGTAATTGTCGAAAATGATCATTTTCAGATGAATTTAATAAACTTTTATGTATGTGATATGATCAACGTATTATTTCGAATAATTTCATCATTGATGGATTATTTCCAAAAGCATCTATTTGTGTACGATTAACGTTTTTTATCTTTGTCCGTATTTGATGTTGTTGATGAATCTATACTTGACGTTATTGAATTTATCTTTTTTATTCTCTTTAAAAAGAAAAAACAAATGAATTCGTTCAAACGTTCTGAATATTCTATATGAAAGTCAAGTATCCTGCCATAAATCAGAGACATGATCAAATATATTCTTCAAATCTAAAACTATGGAACTCCTTTCTGCTGTCAAAACTGATATATCAACTATAGAAAATTATCTTTTGCTCAAAACTATGATGACTGAGCATTTTTACAATAATTCGAAAATAGTAAGAAGTGGAGACCTATCAAACTATATCGAAATATTCAATGAAAATTGAAAAAAAAAAACTTTCTTCGTGTCTTATTAATAAAATAGTTAAATGTTTCGAATTACTTGAATCATTTGTGCTACTTTAAAAACATTTATTCATATGTTGAGGTGATCCAGGAATAGATGAAAAATTTATTTTTGATGCTTGTAGATTTTATGGACTTGTATCTTCAACAACACATGCAAATATAGGAAAAATTCTATGAATAAAAAAAAATACATTTTCATAAATGTTTTTTTACAAAAAAAAGGATTTACTTGATTAAAAAATGAAACATTTTTTCTGTTCATTGAATATCATTTGCATTATTTGATAAATCTTCAAATAAAAATAAAAATAAAAAGAACATAATAAACATCCTTTTTTCTCTTTACGTAAAAATATTAAATTATTAAGATCATCTAATATAAATCGATGTTTAAAAAAATGTATAAGTAAACGAACTTCATCATATTGATTCTAAACATTTAACCTGAAAAATAAAAAACAATAATTCACCTAACAAAAGATAAAAATAACAAACAATTTCTATTTGAGTTGATGCTTGAACTAAACGATCAAATATTACAGTTGATAAACATGATATTCTTTCATATTGTACTTTATCATTTTATATTATTACAGAACTATTTGATTGTTGTAAACAATGAAGAATTGTTATATATCAATTGACATGGCAAAAATGAACTGTGGTTAACAAACCTTAAAATCAAAAAATAGATAAGAACTAACTTAGTGCAATAAAATCCACTTATGCATTCAAATTCGAAAAAAACCTACCTAGTTAACATCTCTTCAATGTATATACTTAGCAAAAGTCGAAAGAGCTGCGTGACCAACACGTATATCATCATCATCATCAGTAAGATATTGAAAAATAATATCAATATAACGATCAAGTCATGATCGATTCTAAACAAAAGCATAACAAAAGACAAGATATTTTTCTTTTCTCTTATATAGAATTATTTCTATTGGAAACTTTACTGTTTTTTTAAAAATTGTTGTTGTTGTTCAAGATAAGTGAATATTCGAAAATCAATATCACCTATAAGTCGAGCTAGAGCAACCTATTTTATATATACACAAAAGAAAAATTTCTATAATCATAAATATCTTTGATCTACTTTAGCAAGAACATAAGAATTTGCACTATGTTGAATAGAATCTTCTAATAATTTAATTGGTATGATTGTAAATGCATGACTATTTATTAATAAACACCTGTAATAATTTTCGTAAAGCATTTAATGGAACATTTATAACACGTGCATTATTATTATCATTAAAAACATAATTGAAATGTAGAAAGTAATTCAGCTAATATACCTAATTAAATATCTTTAAAAAAAAAACTTTTCTGACCTAATCTTGAAATATCTTGTAAATCAACTGATACCAGTAAACATTGATTAGTAAAAGAATTATTAAATGAATTTGATAATGATGAGAATATTGTTAAAAAATGATTGTTGTTGAATTAATTTAGCAAGTAAATTTGCATATGTACCACATAAATGTAGATGACCATATTCACGTAAAGATAAAATATATCTAAGAACTTAAACAAAAAGAAAAATAAAGACATCTCGACGTTCGATAGATTTTAATCTGTTAAAAGTCATGTAGAGATGAGAATTTCATATCAATTACTAAATTATATTTAATCATAAATCTTCAAAGACTAAAGAAAAATTCCTTATAGGATAACAATTGATTTCATGTCATTAAGAATCATATGTTATATTTGTACAATTGTGTTCACTTCTAAAACACTGTCATATTTATTCAATACCATTTAAATTGACTTGTTTCATACGTCTTACTAATAGTTTTCGTGGTCATCATTTTCAATTTGTTATTGATTTTATATTGTACGGCACACCTCCATTTGAACATGGGTGTACGGTGTGAATGGGTCTTCTCTCAAGCAATACACACAGTTACAGTCACATCCATTTCTGTTTTCTATATAATAATTGGTAAGTTTCATTCCTTAAAGATGAAATGATCTATGAAGTTTGGTTTTATACTAGACTTTATATTTTTTAGATTTCCTAATACCTAAATATCTTCATGAGAGTTTTCGATAGTCGGTTAGCAGTACTCCAGAAAAGTGAGCTCGAAAGTTTGAAAGTGAAAAATCTTTACTTTAGATTCAATTTAATTTCTAATGACTAGCTAACTTCACTGTAATCCGAGAACCTTATTGTACTATGAGAAAGTGTGAGTTCAAAGCTTAGAGCCGATGTTTCGATGGTAAATAGAAATTTGTCAGTTGGAAACTTTCACGATCGTATTTCTGAATCATTAAAATCGCAAAAATCGATAAAAACGAGCAAAACAGACTAGTTTCAGTGACAACCCATCGATTTTTAATAAATAGTTTTTTGAAAAATGATTCATTTCGCAGGATGATATATAGTTAAACACTTGCAAAAGCAATTATATTTGGGTTAAAGTCAGATCTTCCATTTTCAGGATCGTATCGAAATCACTCATTCATATTGTTCACGTCTCATTGACAAGGAGGGTCATAATAAATAGAAACGTACAGCTTCTATTTTTTATCGATAAAAAGTTATTTAAAAACAACTGTAGAATACTTGCCTACTGGCTATTAGTTCTGATACAGTGTTACTTTATGATTTTATATCGAAAAACTTGTTAGTACAGTCCCTTTGAGGCTGAAATGTGGAACCTACATGTACTCTTTAGCCTGATTAAACCAATACAAAATACCTCAAGTGAAAAATCTCTCGTAGACTTCATTAGTAGTATCGACACTTGGTCGATAAATCATCATATTTACTGATGCACAAAAGTACTCTATAGAATATTGCATGAATCTTTGATCCAAGTTATTCATTATAATTCACTAGTTCAAAAACTTGCTTCTAGTTATAGAACAAATTACAAGTTTCCTTTTCTTGTTAAATTAATATTTTGCTTTCAATTTCCTAATCTGCAATTTAGTACATAAAAGTATCGACTCATTCTGTTTTAACAAGATTTTTAATATTTTTATTTCAATTACTTTGCAGTATATCTGATCTAATCATTGAAACGCGTTGTTACCAGGCACAAAAAATAATATACCAACAAAGCCGTTTTAACCAGTTCAGTTTTTTGATTTCTTATATGAATGAGTTATAATGCGTTTTTTTCTCCAGTTTTCTACCTGAACATGTTGAAACATCATTTAGATATTTAGTCGTCTGCATGGATTTCATAAAATTCTCCATTAGTAACACAATTTTAAATGAATTTTTTCAATAATATCTACAATTCAAGATAACATTTATTTATTCAAAGATCTTTTACGTTTATTGCTTAAATTACCTTCAATGGCAGACTTTAAACAAGATTTTGTTAACATTGCTATTTATCAGGTATTTCACGTTAGAATCTTTTTTTTTGTTTTTGTTTGATATAAATCAAATGAAAGAAATGTTATCGTATAAAAATTTAGTATTAGAAAAAAAATCCAAAATCTAAATGAATTGAACATAATCTTGATTTTGAGATCAATTGTTTAATTTATTCATCGTCTTTAGAATTTTATTGAATTAATGTTACACGAAATAAAGTTAGTTATTTGTTTTCTTTTCATTTATTTGTTAAGATTTGATGTATTTATTGGTCAATGGTCATCATCAATGATGAAAAGTCTTATCTGGAACTCATCATTTAATTTTAAATGGTTTAATGATAATTAATTAAATTGTTGAAGATAATAATCGAATCAAATCAATCGAATATTATTATTTTTATCATTTTTAAAGAACTTTTTTAATAATTTATTTATTGAAATACGAAATAATTTTCCATCAACAGAAATATGTGCGACCAAGTCATCAATAGATTCTAATGAGTGGCCAGTTTATGCGATACCATCGTCTCGTCGTGATTCATCATTATTTTATTAATAAATGTGAACAAGTTAAATTCTCATATTTCTTTCAACTCAGCCATACGTTATTTTTCAAATGGCTCATGAGATCGATTTCGAACTATGATTTTATATGAGCAGGATCATGATTCAATCTGCAAGAAAAGACGTGTGATTTTAGTATAGATATGGAGAGATTTAGAAACTTTAGATCGGAGGATAGTTTGCAATGATAATTGAAAATGGCTCGCACTAGGCATATAAATTAATAGAAGACACTCAGAGAATAATTTTGTCATCAATTGTTTCTATTTGTTTAAACGCGATATACTAATTTAAATCTTGCATTCGGCATTATCACTAGTGATTGACAATAGCTTTGTCATTAGAATAGAGAATAAGAAGTGTACTCGAATATTATAAAACAACTCAAGGTCAATCAAAACTCATCGAAATAAAAGTTCAGACAAGTTCATTACGCCATCTTCTTGCACAATGTAGTCTAATGAAGTTCATGCCATTGGGATCTAGTAAACAGAAGTAAGTCTGTCAACAGCTGTCTAGTATAAGTTTTTATCTTGAAAATGGTTCTCAAGTAATTTGCTATTCAAAATTATATAAAATATGTGTTGATTAAGCATATTCTGCAGATCTAAAGCCATGTGATTTCTTTCTACTGTTAAAACTGATATATCAAGCACACATAATTAGACTCAATGGCAGCAATTTGATGCTACACATTCTTTAAACAGCCATTAACGGCCTCTCGAAAAAGAAGACACATCCATATCCATACCCAATTTTAGCACGACTATTCAAAACCAGCGAGTACTTTTTTAAGTGAATAAGTCACTAGGACAAGAACCATACTTGACTCGATTCTAATGTATAAATTTCAAATCCATGGAGGGAGAGAGGAACGCAGAAAAACGGCATTTTTTGCCTCGTTTTTTCATGGGCTTTGATACAATATTTATAGATTTTTCAATTAGCACAAAATATATTTTTTTTCTTAAGAACTGATTTATGGTGTATCAATCAACTCGAAAGTTATATAATCTCATAAATGATAAATCCAGTTTGTGGATGTGCTTTATTTTAACATAAGTTTTTCTTTTTTTATTTAGATTGATTCGAACAGTAGAATAAATATAAAATAGTTTCTTGTTAAAATAAAATAAAATTCCGTGTTTAAGGTAAGGGGGGGGGGGGTGAGGGGAGAAACTCCTTATGGTCATCAGGACTCTCGATCGTTTTTTGAAGTGGAAGTAACTAAAAATTTGACAGCTACAATGTTTTGAGTTACGACATAAAAAAACAGAAGAGTTAGCTCACTCTAGCCTCTGCAAAATCGAGATCTTTAATGATAGTAATCGACACTGAACACGATCCTGCGAGATTGAACCCTGTTATTCTCCTTCTATCAGTATATTTGATAGAGATATTTACTGGTAGCAATTTTTGACATAACAACAAAAAACCACAATCTGATTGAATTCTAAGATCACTACAATACTTCGTACGTATCAACACTTAGTTTTGAATGTCCTGTGCAAAAATCGATTCAATTTTTTGCGAGCGAATTACATATATCTTTCTCTGTTAACTTGCGACAACTATTGACATCTCTTTTTCTGATTAGTTAAGAATAAACACTTGTAGTAAAAAAGAGAAAAAAATTAATTTTCATATTAAATTTCCTTCTATGGTTCACTTCATGTGAGAAACAACAGCCAGTAGAGATTGTTTATATCATAGATTTTTCTTATTGGCGATGTTACTCTACCCATCCGTATTACTATTTTTTTCTTTCTTTCTGTTTGTCTTCCTTATTTATATTGTCTCGTACTTGTATATTTTCTTGGAAGATGACTAATGATGACAATCGAATGATTATAGTCACATTTGCCTTTTTGTAGTTTTTCAGTACACCAGCGTACACATTTTGTCTTTGATTTCAAACGTCTTAACATGTCAAGAGAAAAGATATATGGTGTACATCCGTCAGAGCGTAGTACACGTTTATTACGTGTTAAAGTCTTACGAGCAACTGATCTACAACGACGAGATTTTCTTGGTGGAACTGGTGATCCATATGTTAAAATATCACTTCAATCAAATGAAAATCGTACTACAATAATTGATACTGCACGTACACGTGCAATACCAAAAACACTCAATCCATTATGGAATCAAGATTTTATTTTTCGCGTATGTAAAAATCAAGAAAAAGAACAAATTATTTTATTTTATTTTTTGAATAATTTAGGTTGATCCAAGTAAACATCGACTTGCATTAGAAATATACGATCAAAATAAACTTGTATGTATGATGAACGTTATTTGATTAAAAAAAAAGAATAGCGAATAAATTATTTTTAAAGACAAAGGATGAATTTCTTGGCATGTTTTTTGTTGATTTAAATACCAATATTCCATATGAATCTGCTGAACAACCATTGCTAACAAAAGATTATTCATTATTAAAACGCAGGTGAGGCGAATCGTTTGTTGTTTGCTTTTAATATAAAAATTCATATTCTTTATTTCTTTTTAATGTAGTGTTCTTCAACGTGTTCGTGGTACTGCAACAATAGGATTAGCTTATATAAATCCGGGTACAACATTATTAGGATCAGGATCTACAGAAACTGACAATAATCAACAGAATGAAGTAAGAAACTTTGTTTTTTTTCTGCTTTAGTGTAAAGCAAAAATACTTTTATTCTAGTCTGGCTTTGAAATTATTCATCACCGTGATATACCTGAATCATTAACTGAACAACCATTACCTCCTGGATGGGAAGGTAAGTAATGTCAAACTTTATTTGTATGGTATCATTATTTTTTTGTTAAAAATAGAACGAAAAGATGCAAGTGGTCGAACTTATTACGTTGATCATAATACCCGTACAACAACTTGGGCTCGTCCAAATGAACAAGCGTAAATATCTGGTGTTCTATGTTGAGAAATCTTCAAATTTTTGATAGAGTTCATTATCGAAAAGAAAGATCGCTAAATTTCTCTCGATGATCTATGCTAGTAATTATTTTACTTAGGTTAATGCAAAATACCAGTTTTATCAATCTTTCCTACTTACGATCTTCCTCTAATGTTGTCCGATCGAACGAAAATTTTTACCAGAGACACTTGGAAGTATCTTCCAGAGATGAAATCGACCATTATCATTTTTTTTTGATTTTTCAATCTTGATATATAGAGCTCCGAGGCTTAACGTATTTCTTTCATAAAAAGAAAGAAATCAAAATTTGATGAAGGCCGCAATCGATCAGGATGCGCCGCAATGTTCTCTCCGTAATAAACATTTTAGTTTGATTGGTTGTAGCGTCTTCGAGAGCCAGTAACGATCAAAAAAGAACAGAGTCTACCCTTTAGTTATTAACTTGCTAGCACTATAGCTGGCGGAGTCATGTCAATTTAAGAAGCGATAAAAAAAATTTCAAATGATCACAAAAGACAGAGTGATGGTTCACTTCTACAATTCTCTGTTTTTTTCTAGGAACTACTTAGAAAAATCTTTGATGAACCCAGAAAGTGTGTTCTGCCTATAATCGTCCCATGCCATGCGAAAGTCCTAGATTTCATGGCAAATAAAATCTTTACGCTAAAGTCTTGATCGCTTTTCAACAAAACAATATGACTACGACTAATACATGAATTACTAAACTTTGTTGATACACTCATTCTTCGTGCGGTTATTCAACATAAGCATAGGCTTATTACTAAGTACAATTAGTATAAATATACACGGTATTAGAATGTTTCTAATACTGCGTGTATTATCTCAAAATATTGCCGAAATGTATTCCGACTGAATTTTATTTTAGTACTGCTACTTCCCAGCGACCTCAACCACAGGTTGGTGATCGACGTCAAGTTGATGATATTGATTCAAATAATTCCCAAACAAGTACACCAACAACTCCACGAGCTGCAGCAACTCATACTGTTGTCAGTTCATCCGATGAACTTGGTTCATTACCATCTGGTTGGCAAATGTCCAAAACAGAAAATGGTCGTGCATTTTTTATTGATCATGCTAGTAAACGAACAACATGGGTAAGAAAAAGAGTCATAGAAAACTATTTATTCGAATTTTTTTCTAAGATTGATCCACGAACTGGTAAACCAAGTCCATCACCAGATGTACAACGTGAACTTAATCAAAATGGACCATTACCAGTAAGTAAAAAAAACACGAAAAACACAATAGTTATTTCTTTATTTTGTGAAACATGATCTAAAGAAGAAAGAATATGCCTGCTTCTCATCTAGCCTAGTCAGAAGGCTGATCTGATGCAGAGTTTTTACACGAGAGCTGATATATGTCACAATGTAGTCACTATGCCATCGAACAAATGAGCCGAAACAAGAGTTGAACAACATAGCCAATCAGCCTATAGAAATAGAAATTTGGAGTCACTTCCCTTCTTCGTTTTATGCTCAAGAGGAAACGTTTTTAACTGATCAATTGCTTTTGAATTGTGACGCACTGCATAAGATAGAAAATTATAGGTATTTCACTAAAATTTTAGTCTCCTGCACAGTAAATATCAACAAATCGAATGATAGTATTTCGATCTGAGATTTTGTCCACAGGTAGATCTATTTGTCTGTAGAATGCCTTGCAAATTTAAGCTCAATACTACCATTCAATTTGTTAGTATTTACCAACCGAGAGACTTGTCCTTTTGAAGTTTTGCATATCTCACTGAACTCTACCTTATACACTGAGTTCGAATCCAAAAGTGGTTAATCAGTTGAAAACGTTCTCTCATCAAAGATTGTATATCAATGAAATCTCGTTCTAATATATGAACTACTTCCCGATTGCATTTCTGAAGGATTAACTGAAAAGAAATGTGTCTCAAAATAGATAGAATAAAACAATCTCCTATGATTATCAACAACAACTAAATCATGTTTCACATTTTTTATCTCATAGGAATTGCACTAACACTTTTTATTTTATAGGCACAGTGGGAAGTGCGAACATTACCTGATGGTCGTGTTTATTATATTGATCATTGTAAGACTTGTTTTAAAAATTAATTTTGTTAAATATGTACTATTTTTTTGTTTTAATTTTAGTAAACAAAACAACAACTTGGACTGATCCACGTATAGCGGGACCGGTAAGTATTGAAATAACGAAAAAGAAGACGGTCATTACGACCTCACTCTATTAATTACCCACATGAAATACTAAATGAATTTTATCCGATTCATTTTGTTTTTGCTTATCAAAAGTTTTGTTTTCTTTGCAATACGTAAATCATATCTGTACGTAGAGTATGCATAATAAAAAAAACATCGTGACACATACACCTGTACAGCTATTACATTAATTCACTAAAAAACAAATATTTTGACAAGAAATATTTTTTCATCAAAATATGCTCAATACAACAATTAGTTCTTTTATTTATTCATTAACAACTCGTAGAACATCAACAAGCAAACCTTCGAAAAAATCGAATTTTATACCACAGGTATAAATTTAAACGTTAGAATATATTTTTCTTGATTTCATAATAGTTGAGACGACTTTGTTGTTTGTAGTAGAAAAACAAACAGTTCGATTGTATTTTTCATATTTCGAATCGATTGAAATTTATTTTGTTTTTTTGCTCGTAGACTGTACCATATTCACGTGATTATGAAGCTAAATATCGTTTATTTCGTCATCATTTACCACGACCGAAATCAAATGTTGGCAATCAACTTGAAATACATGTCAATCGAAAAGATATTATGGAAACATCATTTCGAGCTGTTATGGGTGTTAGAGATACAGAAGCATTAAAAACACGGTGAGTATATATATATATATATATATACGGTTTTTTGTTCTCAACAAAGATTTTATTTTTTATTTTTATATTAAAGACTTTGGGTTGTATTTGATGGTGAACGTGGTTTAGATTATGGTGGTGTAAGTCGTGAATGGTTTTTAATGCTTTCACGTGAAATATTCAATCCATATTATGGTCTATTTGAATACAGCACTCTGTAAGATTTAAAAAATTGTTTAGTATAGAAAATTTATTACTGTAGTTCAAAGTTCATATATCTATCGAAAATTTTCGTCACTCAAAACTTAATACAAAAGGTCATAAAAGTCGATCTATAGAAAGATAATAGGCTTTTTGATAGTACTCTTATGTCATCGTAACGTAGAATATATAAAGAAGAGAACGAAAGAAATATTGTACGACTATAAAAGGGCAAACATAAAATTGAATATCAAATAAGTTGACTGTATCAGGGTAATGACGAGGAATGAACAGTTTTATATATAGAAAGAAAAAGTGACCATGAAGAAAAGGTTATTATGCCAATTCTTACAGACATTGATAATATTTGTTCAAGGCTTTTACTCATGTTATCTCATACATTAATCTTCAGATTTTAATCAAATATTATAGTCCTAAAGATCTAGCAAGCAAAAACATAGTTTCGAATTGAAATCTTGCTAGAGTTTTTTTGTAGGATTTAAACTTTTTGGTATTGATAAATACCTGTGAAGAAAAGAAAGATAAGAAAATCTGATGCTACCTACTATTCAAAGCTCGTCGAATGGATCCGAAAATTTTCCAGCTGATAAATTCTAATTATGAAACATTGGGAATATTATCTTTTTGCTTCATGTTCTTATGGCTTGATAAAAAAAATCATTTGTATATATTCTAGAGATAATTATACTCTTCAAATTAATCCATTTTCCGGTTTATTTAATGAAGAACATATAAAATATTTTCGTTTTATTGGACGTATTATTGCAATGGCTATTTATCATGGAAAATTACTTGAAGGTTTGTTTGGTTTTATAATCGAACAAAAAAATTTTACATTGTTTTCTTTCTTTTTTTGTCTTTAAAAGCATTTTTCATTCGTCCATTCTATAAAATGTTACTTTCAAAACCGATTACACTTGCTGATATGGAATCTGTTGATCGTGAATATTATCAATCATTAAAATACATTCTTGAAAATGATCCAACAGAATTAGATCTTTATTTTGTTGTTAGTGAAGAAGTACTTGGTGAAGTAAGTTATTCAATAGAGTTTTATTTTCTTTACTTGGATTTTCTTATAGTTACGCGAACATGAACTTAAACCTGATGGTCAACATATACAACTAACTCAACAAAATAAACAAGAATATATTGAGTAAGAAAAATGAATAAATAGGAAAAAAACCTACATTGACTCATTTATATTTAATTAGTTTGGTTATTAAATATCGATTTATACAACGAATAGCAACACAAATGAATACAATAAAACAAGGTTTTCAAGATGTACTACCACTGGATAGTATTAGAATGTTTGACGAAAAAGAAGTTGAAGTATGATTATAAACGAGCAAAAGAAATTTGTTTTTCTCCTACATAAATATTTTCTTCTAGCTTTTAATCAGTGGTCTTGGAGAAATCAATATCAATGATTGGCGAACATATACAATGTATAAAAGTGGTTATACACCCGACAATACAGTTATACAATGGTTTTGGAAGGTAAACATAGTAGCGATTTTTGCTTGTATGTCATCGAAAAAAGATATGAATATTTATCTAATGAAGTATGCATATCGTACTTCATATGCTTGCTACTCAAGATTAACTAAACATTCAGATAATAGTAAAGAAAAATAAAGAGATATTTTTAATTTAATTTTATTAAATGTTCAATATTATTATTTTTGAAAAATTCCATCCTTTCTAACAGTTTGTGTTAATGATCTTTTACTAGACTAATCTGTTAAAATATGTTGGATATAAGCACTTAATCAAAAAATCACATAGTACAAGATCTGATGAAAATAGTGGATATGACATTATAATGATAATTTCTTGTGTTAAGCACTTAATAAAATTCAGATGAATATGAGGATCAGCAATATCGTAAACCAATTTTAAATTTTTAGTACATGATGGCGTCCTTTGATTTTATATTTCATTTACCATAGTCTTGTCTTTGTCTAATATATACCAGTTCGAATAATAGAGCACGTATACATTGCCCTATATTACGGAAAAAAACGGTGGTGTTGTGTAGAATATTGTAAAGATTATTTTCTGATTCTTCAGACAACATTGATAAAAAATCTCTTATGTACATAAGATTTTTTTGACCGATTATTGTCTAGAAAATCAGGAAATAACCCTTATAATGTTCTAGAATGAAATATTTACATACATGTGATAACGGACTATTTTAATCATGAAATTTAGACTTTAGTCTTGTTTTGTAATATTTTTAGGGAAAACTTGTTTCTAAAAAATCAGAAAAGTAGTTTTTCATAGGTAACGCAATATGGTGTATTCAAAAACATTAAGTAAATTGAAAACAAAAAAATTTACTGAAGTTTAAAATTTCCGACACCTTAATTTTCATGTAAATTCATGATGAAAGAAGATTTCATTTTCTGGTTGTAAAGATTGTGATAGATCATATTCATATTTTGCTGTAAAGCTTTCAGAGTTCTTGTTAGTGATTTATTCAATTATTTGATTGATATTTCTCTAGGCTATTGGATCTTTCAATACCGAAGAACGTACTCGTTTCCTTCAATTTGTAACTGGTACATCTCGATTGCCAATGAATGGTTTTCGTGAATTGTGGGGTTCTTCTGGTCCACAATTATTTACTATTGAAAAATGGGGCGATCGAACAAAATTACCACGTGCTCATACATGGTTTGTGATTATTTTTTAAATTTTTTTGTTTTTTTATAATAATACGGATTATTATAATTCTTTTTAGCTTTAATCGTCTTGATCTACCACCTTATGAAAATTATCAAGAATTACGTCAAAAATTGCTTCAAGCAATGGAAATGAGTGAAGCATTCGAAGGTGTTGATTGATATGTCATTTCTGATTTTCTTTTCTCATTTATCTACAGTAGTTGCAAGTCTTTCTTCTTTCAATATCTTTATGTGCTTCTTCTATTAGATGATGTCTCAGAAAAATAAAAACAAAAGAAAACAATACGAACCAAGTCTAAGATTTCTTCTTCACTTCTTCTTTCTAATGTCTGTGTACAGTGAAAGAAAAATTTAATACATATTCATCTAGACTTTAACAATATTGCTGTTATTTATTATTATTTTTTTTTTCTTTGTTGTTTCTTTCTTTCTTTGCACGATTTATAATGTTGTCAGTTTTATTTGCTATCAACGTCCGTGTGCATGTTGTCTTTGACCTTCATTGTTGCGATTTTTTCATTTAAAATTATATAGCTGCTCTTGTTGCTCGGTGTTTTTTGTCATTCTTTTTTTGTTCGTGTTCTTATGTATATTCAAGCGATTGGGAAGGAGAACATGGATTTTGATGACAAACAAAAAAACACTTTATTTTTTTTTCTTAAATTTTCAGATGATACATGACTAGAGGATTTATCAATTTGATTCAACAGTAATTATTTCGATGTGAAGATATATAAAGGATGATGTTTGAAAAAAAAAGAGATTTAGAAAAATTCAGTGAATATGAAATAGCAAAAAAAAATGCAAATCGACAGCTCTTGCTTTTTTCCAATCAATTCAAACTAAAAATATAATATTTACATAATTATTAGATTATCTTTAATTTTTAATGGATATGAGTTGGATATCAATGTTTGGTTGGATATTATTACCACAAATTGGTGGTATTCTAGGTGGACTTGTAACAGCAAAACAAATCAAAACTTGGTATGAAGTAAGCTTTATTTTTCAAAAAAATTTTTTATAATTATTAAATATCTTTAACAGAAACTTCTAAAACCATCTTGGCGTCCACCAAATGCAGTGTTCGGTCCTGTTTGGTCAATACTCTATCTTTTTATGGGCATTGCTTCTTATTTAGTTGTTCGTGACGGCCAAGGATCATTCAAAACACTTGCATTAACGTTTTATTTCATACAATTATTTCTTAATTGGTCATGGACACCAGTGTTTTTCGCTCTTCATCAATTAGGAGCTGTAAGTACCAAAAAAAAAAAAGAAACAAAATGAATAAAATTCATTATTAATGAATATACTTTTAGGCTCTTGTTATCATACTGATTTTATTCATAAATATCTTTATTTGTATATTACAATTTTGGCAAATTAATTCTTATGCTGGAATGCTTTTAGTACCTTATTTTATTTGGGTCGGATTTGGTAAAGTCACATTAGTATTCTTAGTTTTATTTTGTATAAATTATTCAAATTTTAGCTTCGGCATTGACCATGTCAATATGGCAACTGAATTCACCGTATGCTCAACCACCACCTCGTCGACCACGTCCAGTATCAGATCCATTTCAGCAATAAAATCTTTGTTTTTCTTTTTTAATCTAGCGTTTATTTATTAAGAATGATTTATTTATTGTTTATTTTCGCTTGTAGATTTTACTAATAGTAATGAGTTTATCTAAAGCCGCTATTGGATTAACATTTTTACCACATTTAGGTAAACAATTTTTCTATTAATTTCTACAAATATTTATTATGTTGTATATATAGGTGGTTTTCTTGGTGGATATATTACAAGAAAAAATATTAAAGACTGGTAGGTATATTTAAAATAAATAAAATGAAAATTTAAAAATTTTACTATTGCAGGTATGAACATCTTGATCGACCAGGATGGAGACCACCAAATTGGGCTTTTGGACCTGTTTGGACATCATTATATACAATGATGGGTTATGCTTCATATCTTATATATCGAGATGGTTTGGGCGATAGTCGTACTCGTGCTCTTGCTCTTTATGGTTCACAACTTGCGTTGAATTGGCTTTGGACACCACTTTTTTTTGGTTACCATAAAATGGGACTTGTAAGTCAAAGAAACTTTTTCAAGACATATCATAAATTTTTTTTTAATTTTTTTTTATAATCGTCTTAGGCATTTGGTGAAATGCTTCTACTATTAGCAAATATTGGTTTATGTATCGGTGCTTTTTTTCCAATCAATCGAACGGCTTCTTATCTTTTAGTGCCTTATTTTGGTTGGGTATCGATGGCTTCAGCGTTAACATATACAGTTTGGCAGCGAAATAAAGATAGAAAAATTTCGTAAACATCTGGTCAAACCATTTACATGAAAACAAGAGAAATTTTTTGTGCACTTAATTCATTTATCACTTTCACTAGTTGATTTGACATCCTAGGACCAATAAAAGATTTAGATATAGGTAATTAATGTTCAAATGAATATCTAATGGGCATATAATTTGTTTTACTGTATGTGCAATTGTTTACGATCGATGATTTGAATATACCCATATGATGAAAACCGATGATTTTATCGTGAGTTTCTAGTTTGATTGATTTCGTAGATGATATCCTGATAAAATATTCTGAAAGAGCGATTTCTTTCGATTTGCTGTATATAAAAATATTTACGACCGATCATCGAGATATACCCATGTGGTGCAAATCGATGATTTTATCGTGATTTATTATTTCTATGAATTGTGAGATGAAATGGTCAAAAAAGACGACTATTGTCGATTTCTTATCGATTTTTATTGAAAACCAAGATGCATTGTATGATTTATAATCTACTCCTACGCTCGTCGATAGTCATAGTGATTAACGACTATCATTATTTTCACATGTAATAAATGTGCTACACATGGTAATGACGATCATGAATTTGATGTTGTATTTTTTCTTCATTCTTGAAGACAAGAAAAAGAAACCTTACATGTACCATTATACTATGCAGTTTTGAATAGATTCTGCCGTCAAATGGCATGATTTGTGTGTAAAAAAAATTAACCGAAATATTATATATAGATATATAATGATGAAGGGATAGCCATAAAAATAAATCCTATCATTCCAATGGATAGTATATATTTTCTACACAACTTGTTTCAAGTTTTATAACTGACAGCATTGATCTCGATAGAAACCAATCATTCAGATTTAAGCTTATGAATACCAACAATAATATTAATATAATAGAACAATCTAAAAGCTATTCATACATTAAGAGAATAGACTTGTCCATAAACTATATTTATTAATACTGATGACAAAGAAATAAAATACATAAAAAGAAAAACGAAACAAATCATACTCTTCAATAAGTTCGAAGAAATGTTCTTAATGCAAAAGAATCACTTTTCAGAACTAAGCCAATTGCATTCTCTCGTTTTTTTTTCTTTTTTCGTGATTTCAAATAATCATTTAAGGTTCTTGTGTGTTAGGCATGATATTTTTGAAGAAATCCAATTGTTTCATATGTTAAACTAGTTCTTGTTACATATATTATATATATATATCTCAATTTCCATAATAATTAGCTTTTTCCTGTTTTTTTTTTCTAAATCTGCGTTATTGAACCAATGTTAATGATGAACCTTTCTTGTGACCACGTCGTAGTTTTTCTCGAAAAATTATAAATATATGTTTAACAGCATGACTCATAACACAATAACATAATGGATTAATTGCTGAATTAGATAAAGAAAATAATTGAAATATTGGGTTGACATAAAGTACAAGAAACATTTTCTTATCTGTATTTGATACATATGATGAATACACAGCTACATGATCTTCATTAAATTCTAATTTAGTTGTATTTGTATATGTATTGTCAGGTATATATGTATTAGATGTTATATCAATATAAATTGATAAAATATTTAATGGAAGTCTTGTAATAAAAAAGACAATAACTAAATAATAAAATAAATTATTATTTTTTTTTCATAAAGAAAAATTTGATTTACCTAAAGTAATAAGTAATTTAACAACTCGTCGACGACTTTGTAAAAATCGACTTGCATTTTCAAAATCAAATATTGATCGACGTTGTTGATTATTACCATTTGAAATACGATTTTGATTTTGTAATGATATAACACTTGAACGAAGTATTCCAGTTGTATATTGACTTATGGAATGTCGTTGACATATTGATATTGATCTTGGTTGTTTATTTAATTGTATATTATTTGTATTTGATTTATAATTATTTTCACTAAAACGTCTTGGTGTTATATTTGATGAATGACGATATGTATTATTATCATTTAATATTGTACTTAGTCGTTGTCGATTTGGCATTAATAATCCACGACAATCATCTAATTGTTTTTGTCGATTAAGATTATTTTCATTTGTTTTATGATAATGAACACATAATGGTCTAGTATTTTGTCCTGAATTTGTTCGTATATCATTTAGAAAATCTTCAGATATAGTTGAAAAACGTCCTGTATTTATTGCTGATGTTGATAATGATGTTTGAACATTTGAATCAATAAACCAAAGAGAAAAACTTATACGAATATAACAATATGTCATTAATGTTAATGGTAATATAAAAAGAACAAAAAGTAATATAAAATCATAAACTAATCGAGCATTCATATTCTGATGCCATTCTTCAGCGCACGCCGTTAATGTTATTTCAAATGGATCGACTATTCGATGATGTAAAATAAGTGGAATCATTAAAAGAAGTGCTATATATAAAAATATACAATCAAGAGAGAGTATTTTTAGAAAAAAAACATTATTTAGGCTATTTACATACAAGCAATCCATGTCATTCCTATAGTGACTATTACGCGTGTTGGAGTACAGAGTAATTTTGAGTGTATTGGTTTATGTATAGCAATAAATCGATCAATACTCACTTAATATAGAAAGAAAATAAATTTAGAAGAAAAAAATTTTTTTTCATTTCGAAATTATTTACCAGCCATTAATGTAAAAATTGATACTGCAACCGATGTACCTAAAATATTTTTTTAACCATAAAAAACTCTCTATCAGTTCTAAGTATAATTAAAAAAAACGAATACAATATTAATACGACGCCAAAGAATTCTTGTTACTTAGATGAAAGAAATGATGATTAGTTTTGATTTAAATATGAAAGAAATTAATATTTGTCTTCGTCTTACTATAGAACATAATATTTCTTATTTGAATATTATTCAAAAGTACAAATATGGCCGGCACGTCTTTACATCGATGAATTCAAAAGTCAGACATAAATCGAATTAATTTTGTATAGAATCTAAATTGATATCTAATGTATTCATATTTTCCCTACAGACAATCTTTTATATTTGTTCTTCCATATTATCTCAGACTTTTTTTTCAAGTTTTTACCTTGCATAAATGGTACAAATCGACAAAGAAATTCTCCAAATATCCAACGTTTATCATAATAATGATAAGCAGTCGGTGGTAAACAAACGACTGTTGCAATAAGATCTGATATAGCTAAATTCAGTAAAAAACGATTTGTTAATGTACGCATACGTCGACGTTTTATAATCATAACAATAACAAATATATTTGCTGTAAGACCAATAAGAAATATAATTGCATAAATGAAAAAAAGTATAAATGAAAATAAAAGAGATGTATGTGTTTGAACACTTTTCATCCATAACAAATCCGGTTGATGAGAATAATTATGATCGGTTTTTAAATCTTGCAACATCAGATATATATATATATATAGATAGATAGATATCTACTAAAGATAAAAACAAAAAAAAATAGAAAAATAAGAAATAATCAGAATGAAAAAATACAATAATAATAATGATAATAGAAAACAATTAATCGTCAATTCATCGAAGCGAAAGACAAAATAGTCCTGTTATCTTCAAATATTCATCCTGTTTTTCATCATTCACTATTATATATACTATACTGATTGATCGATTGAAAGAGCGGTGATCATTCGGCCAAAATGAATGAACCAACTAAGGCGACAGAAAAAGCTGACGAATAAGTTTGCTAGAAAATATATGACATTTTTTCGAATATAATATAAAAAAAAGTTCCTAACATATGATTATCGAGTGTTCAATGAAGTACATTCAAATTGAAGAGATTTATGACAAAAAAAAACAGTAGTAGCATGTAAATAGATACTCAAAGAAAAATCGTACTTTTTCTACAGGTTTTAGTTTAGTTCCGATTCAAAGTCATATTTACAGCTGTTGAATATGTCTCTATGAATGATCATATCAGTTAAAAACTTACGATGCTTTTAAAATGAAATATCTTATTCACGAGAAGGAAGAGCTGATCTCATACTCAGACAATGAAAAAAATTCAAAAGTAATTTGACTCCCGTCAAAGAAACTATTCTATGAAAGACAGGAAAAGAAAAATATATACTTTTTTACAACTTATCATACCTTTCATTTCCTTTACAAGAGAAATATTCTGAGAAAAAAGCTATTCTTACACATCCTGCTATTGACAATGATAATAATAATGATGCTTCTTTTTTGTCAATGTTGTTGAGTCTGTTCGCTCTCATTTTTTTTCTGTTCGCACTCCATAACAAGACTACTACTCATATACGACTTTTAGTCGTTCGTCGTTTTATTTCCGATTCAGATCTATGTAAATTTCTAATAGTCAAACCTTAGGCTATTCCATTTATTCTAGTATCAGCTTGATATTTCAATTTTGCGTTCCAAATTAGTTCTTTCTTTTTTTTTGCATCAAGAAAGAAAAGGAAATACTTATGTCTCTTTTAAAAGCACCTAAAATTTTTTTTGCCTTTTGACAGAATGAGCATTAGGCAAATTTGACAAAAATTGAGTTCGGCAGGAAACGAAGTCATATATAGGCATGCATGCATTTGACATATTAAAACATGCAAATGTATAATAATTTCATGCTGAGATATACAAACCAGAGTTCAAGTTTTATTAATCAAAAATATTATAAACTTCGATGCATGAAGAATAATAAACTATCCAATGAATTTCTATTTAACTCAGATTTCATCTAGAATAGAACATTTTTTTTCTATTGAACTTATTTATATTTAATGACGAAGATACATAACTTTTTTGTGAAATGTCATAACCTTTTGATTCATTCATTATCAGCGAACTAAATAATACAAAAACATTAAAATAATAAATCTAATGAATTTTTTATTGTAAAACTGTCTGAAAAATTCTTTAGATATCGTGTTAAAGCGTATAAAAGGAAAAAATGTTCAAAAGTATCTTAGTCGACTTTTTATGATATCAGAAGCACAATATAAAAATGCACTATTGGAATTACTGTTTTTCTTTCTATTGGAAAATGGTTTAAAAAGGAAGAATCAGTTATATCAATAAAAATCATGCAATAAAATTAAATTTCATAATTAAATTTTTACGTCTAATATCAATGAACACTTGAGAAATTACAGCAGGAAATAATTAGAATTTAAAAAATGATACTTAATAACTTTTACTTATATTTAAAGATCGAAAAAACATAACAGATTTTTACCTAAAAATAAAATCTTCAAATTAATTATTCATGAATTGTTTCATACATTCTCTATGTGTGAATTATATTACCGGAACTGTTTAACCTATTTCAAACAATTATTTTTCGTAGGAGTTTCACAGAAAAATTGAAAATGTATATGGTGTGAAGTTTCAATCAAAACTCATATTAGCAAACAATAAATAATTGATCTATTTATTTTTGCGTTTTCAAATCTAGACTTCAATTTCCTTTGAACACAGTTGAAAGCTTAAACATTAGTTAAAGAACGTGTGCTACTACCATGATGACATTCATTAATTCCGAGCATCAATTGAATTCTGCATACATTGAAAACAGTACCGAAATGTAAATCTTATTCATTCAATGAGTCATTTATAAAGTTAAGTGCTTCGTTTCAATAAATTCAAAGTTAAGAAAAATTTTCAAAACTAATTAAAATTTAACGTCAAAAACATCTGAATAATAGTTAACAACAACATTCATAAACTCCATTATGCTTATAAAAGATACTTCAATAATGAATCTTTCTAGAAAAAAAGAATTCTTTAATTACAAGTATTTTATCATGAACTGTCATAGTCTATAAAAACAAGAGTTAATTAATTTTCACATATTAAAGAAATTTAATCATTCATTATGAATTCATAGTCTGATTTTTTTTTCAAAATATTCTTTGTTACCAAAACAAAAAACGAAAAATCGTATTTTTTCAGTTCTGTTGTTTGGTTCTGTTGGAATTTTTTTTTATATGTTCACATAATGTCTAATCCTTAAAGCTCATCACTGTTGCTCGGCTGCAAAATTTTCTTCTGTGTACATACTTTCATCAGATGTTGTATTGACTGATTTCTTTCGTTTTTTGTTTCATTTTGTAGGATAGAAGTCGTGTAAAGATGGATACTGATATGGATCGATCGCATTTACAAACAGCAAATCGTTTTGGACAATTATCAAAAAATATGTTCTTCGCACGGCATGTTCCTCAACCAAAATTTTTAAAATTCATTACAGGTAATCATGTTATTTGCAATGAATAATTTATTCATTTTAAAATAAAATAATTAAGGAACTGCTGGTGTTAAAGTATGCCATGTACGAGATGATGTGCCACATTTACCAGCAAACCCATCAGGTGATTTAGCTAAGTCATTACTATCTGATCCACGTTTTACTATTGAGTTCCCACCGAATTCATATAATGAGGCTTTGCTTCGGTCTTATGCAGAAAGAATTCAACCAAAACGACGTCGAGAACGATTTCTTCCTCCTATACGTGGTTGGAATCCATCCGGAACGGTATGTTAAATACTTTGTTTTTAAAAAGTCATATAATAATTTCTTTTTTAATTTTGTAGGTAGGTAAGTATCATTCAAAATAAGCATAGCATTTTTCTCGTGTGTTTTTTTCTTCACTTAGTTGAGGATACAGAAAATTGGCGACGTGAATTATCACGTATTGCTGAAATGGTTGGTTTAGTAACAGCTGATGAATTAGCTGAAATTGAACATAAAAGAGAACCACCATCATCACCACTTAAAAGAACTCCATCAAAAACATCAAATGGTGAATATAGTCAACGAACTGGTCGATGGAATGAAACACCTAAAACATTAAGTCGTAGTCGATCATTACGTGGACGAACACCACTTTCAGCTCTCATACCTAATCATCTATTTTGTGTTGATGAGCAAGAACGAGAGATGTGGGTAAGATTAAATGGCTTTATTTTGTTTTGTTTTTCAAACAAAAAAACATCATATTATTTTGTTTTGCTTTTTAGATGCTTCAAGTACTTTGTCAAATTTTAAAAACTGAAGATATTAATGAAGTACAATCATGGCTTGTTTCATCAAGTTTAAATGGTTTGTTTAATTTATCTTTTGATATTCATGCATATTGTATCTATATTATATATATATATATATATTAGAAAAAGATGCTGTACGTCAATTAATTACATCAGCAATTAAAGGACTTGAAGAAAGTGGACGTATTCAACCAACTGCTTATTTTAATGAAAATACGAAATCTATTCAAGCTGGTATGGATACATTAGGCTCAATAGCGTCCAATAAGTAATAAAAAACATTACAAAAAAAAATATATTCTTAAATTGTTAACGTCTAGATTTCCAAGTGAATCCGTATCGTCAATTAATGAAAATACAATAAAGCCTAATTCTCGTCCTCGAACATCTCCACAAATACAATCAACAACAACAACCAACGATTTTCAAAGTAGATCAACGCGAGCATTTCAAACAAATCTTGAACCAATTGATGAAGAAAAAAATACAAAAACATTTGTACCACAACCAACAAAAGTTGATAGTAAACGCGATATACAAGTTCTTACATTAAGTGATGATGGAAATAATAATCAACAAATAACAAATAGAAATAAAGATGAAGTACCATTCTAAATTATGTTTATTATAAAAGAATAATTGAACTAAATTTCATAATTACTTATTCAAATAAACGAGTGATCCATTAACAACTAGACAATTGTATTCTTTGTGTTCAAGATATTCAATAAAATTTTCAATGAATTATAGTTAGACTCATTACTAGCCAAATAAAAAATATACTAAGCTTAAGACTTAGCTAACCAAGCTCTGATAGGGATGCTCAATTCGTCTTATAAGAAAAGTCTTCTAACTGATAAATCGCTCTTAATACAAGATTAGACATGTGCGAGATTGAAATCCGAGACTATATCATATCCTTGACTCTGTAACTTTTCAAGTGAAGTTTTTCGTATCTTACAAATTAATTTATTATTTTCTTGCTAATATTTTGTAATACAAAAAGAGATGCGTCCTGATAAATAAGACGATATAGATACAAATAAAATCTTTAAACATAAAAGAAAAGCAAACAGTTTCATTATTATGAACACTAAAATATGTCTTCGTCTGATTCCATTTGTTCACTAAATATTGCTTCATTATTTTTAGACCATCGTTCATTTTTTGTTTGCGAATATGATTGTGATAAATCCTTTGATAATACGCGTTTACTTGAAATAAATGATTGAGAAACTGTCTCTTCTTATTTGACTAACAAAATCATTTTAAATAAGCTAAACTTCCATTTGACACAGTCTAAAATGTCCTTCAGAGGATGGATATGAATAAAATGACGAGGCCTCTATTTCACCAGCAGCCGATACTCGCATCCTACTATCATCAAGCACTGTTCATGTTTTACTAAAAGGACATTTTGATGATAGAAGACATTTCCTTTAGAGGATCATACCACTGAGGCCAATTTCTCAGGGACATTACCAGCAAGGACATTTTAACCTGTGTTGCCCTTTATTTACAAACGTGACTTTTTTTTCCAGTTATTAATCATATTCTTTTTTCAGTGATTTTTGCATCTGGATAGACATGTGCGAGACCAGGAACGTTTCAAATTCACTATGACTACGACCGAGACTGTCTAAAAAGAAGTTATCAGTATGACCAAGAATTGGTCTCGCATGTGTCTAGTAGAGACTATGTGCATTATGTGGGTATACGAAACGAGAGATGAATGTTTAGAAACAGAATGGATCCTATCAATCTTACCACATCCGCACTCGCATTCTTACATTACATCATTATCTAACGCTCTCAGAATTGCCGTACGTATCTTTTGAGATCCTACATTATGTAGATTCAAACAAACTATGAATATTTTAAAAAGAATTCTTATATTTATATTACTACTGTAAATATATCGAACGTATAAAATATTTTTTAAATAAATGCCGTGATCTAGAAAAATTGATTTTCAAATTTCGATTTGAAGCTTAGTATGGATATAGGCCTTAATAAAAATAGTTTTTCGTGAATGTTTCAGATCTTGTCACTGTTTCTATCCTAAAATAGACCAATGATAATAGTGTATCTTTTATATCACTCATATAAATCGGCAGATTTGATATTCTTATTTCAGAATTAAGAACAAATCAAAAGATCTGAAAATTTTACAACAGATTACTCCCGTTAAGACGTGTCTCAATGCAAAGTTTCAAATCGAAATTCAAAAATCAGTTTTTCTAAACCATGACTTCATTTAAAAAATAATATTGTAAAGGTGCAGTATCTCCGCAACAACAAGCTAAAGACACGAGCTCTTTTTAGCGAATTCATAGATCATTTGAGTCCACATAATGTACATAGTCTGGACTCAAAATTGATTTATTAGTTGTGGGACTTCCCTCGTTAGTTACCTCTTGATTATGCTACTAAACTGCAATTTACTTAGAGTCACAAGCGAAACCAAACTAGAGATTTTAAAAATTACATTCACTGCTCAACTAGAAATCATGTAAATCTCATTGACTTGTAATCTTGTAAACAAAACTACTTTCTCTACTCTCCTTCAAACTTCTACTTGCATTACATTTTCTATGAGAAATATTACATTATCATTCTTCTTGTGTATCGATGTAATCAACTATGATTTCAAGATTGTGACGAACAACAGCGCCATCTGTTATTGAAAATTCAAAACTCTAATTTGTCTGAATGTTACCATTCATACATCTAGAAGAGTATTTATTTGAATACACATACATAGGCAATCAAAAGCAAAAAAAGAAACTCGCTGACGTGGATACTAAACTGATTTATTCATTATAAAAAATGGAGAATATTGCTCTGTCGGATTCCAATGATGATCTAGCTAATGAAATTATTGGAGATCATGATTTATCTCGTGGACCTCCAAGAATGTTAGCCGAACAGCATGTTACATCTGAATTACAAGATGCAGCTAACACTGATGTAATTAGAGGTATACCCATTAATCTTTGATGCATTTCTTTTATTCTCTAATATCATTTTATTTTTAAAGCTCCATTTATAACTTCTGCTAATACACCATTTAAACCACTTTTTCCAGCACCGAATAATTCAACTCAAATGTTATCAAGTGGTTCACCATTATTATTTCAACAGAAAACAAATAATATTCCAACATTAAATCCACTTCTTCAACCACCATCATCAACATCACATTTACCATCGCCATTAATTCAACCTTCCGTTCGTCCACCATCAATTCCAAGTGCATTTCAATCACCACCATCGGCATTCACACCATTAAATCCTGCTAATACTCAACAATTATCATCATCATTAATTCAACCTAAATTAACAATTGGAAATCAACAAACACAATCTGTTCCATTTCCAATGACAACAATACAAGGTATCGAAACAACAAATAATATTCCACCACCTATGATGATGCCACCACCTTCAACACAAGATATTCCAAAAACACAGCATAATTCACAATTTGTTCCTTCTCTTGCTCTTTCAACTACTTCAACAACAATGAAAGATCCAAATCTTACACTACCTCCACCTCCTCAACAAACTGGCGCATGTAGATGAATTTTGATTTCAATGAATTTCAAAAATTAATTTTTTGTTTTGAATATTTTTAGCAGCACAAGTAAATCCTTATTCTGCTCGTGCTTCATTAACAGAACGTATTTATCCAAGTATGCCAACATCACAAGCTCCACTTCAGCCACAACAATTACCGCCACCAGTTAGTTTTCAACAACAAACTATGCCATCGATAACTAGCAATATTTTTGTTCCACCACCAACTGTTGCTAGTACAACTACACCAAATGTTTTTCCAGGGTAAGCATTAAATTCTTCAATTATGATAAAATATATTGTCTTTTGTTAAGAACTGATACAAATATTTACAATCCATCTTATCAGCCACCAGGTTTGAAATTTGAAAAGAATAAAAGTTTTCTTTTATTGTATAATTTTCTATAGGTGAACCTAATCCAACACCATGGACAAATTATCCAACAACACCAACATATGATCAACAACAAAATGATCCATCATCTACAAATCCTACTGGTATTTGGGGTTGGTTTAGTGGTAATAAAATGTTGGCTACTGTTGTCGAAAAAGCTAAAGTAATTATTTGTTCTTTTTTTTGTATCTCGATGAATTCATTCTTTCGGAAAGTGACAATGTAAAATCAGCAATCATTACAGTTTGGTCATGCTTTCATTCAGTGAGATTGTAGGAGCATAAACTGAATTCTATTATTATTACCAGTAATTTAAACGATCTCGATTTCACTTGCAACTTGCTAGATATTGACTTGAATCAATTAAAGAATGATTACTTGAACACTAGAAGACCTTTCCTTACGATGCTATCAAAATTTTTCAATTATAGGTGAGCAGTTATTATTATGTATAATGAATATCATAATTACTCAACAAGATTTATTTTCAATTTTTTCTGTTGATGTAAGTGCTAGAAAAATAATCCAAATAGTGATTCGATTTGGTTTTCTGAAGATCCTATGTTTGACGATCTGATAAGAATTTTCATTTCCTTAAATTTTTTTTGAAAACAACAATTTCCCTCTACTTGAATCATTAATTAGCTTTATTTTCTAGTGTTTAAGTAAGCGGAAAAAATCTGAAAACAAATGCTTTGTATATAGCCAGATATTTCTACTTTTATTGGATATCTTTTAAAACAACAACAAAAATTGAAACGTAATGGTAGTGAAGAATTGGAAATTAAACTTAATTATTTCGTTCTTTCTGATATTGTCCAACAAATAGAAATATATTTGTTAGCTCGGGTCTACTAGTCTTATATTTCTTCATCCGTCGAAAAGTTACTCGAAACAGCTTCTTCGTTTACTTGAATCTACAATTAGAAGCGTAAGTCGATTGACTGAACTGCCACCGCTGACCAATGCATCAGTTAATACCTCTGTATAAAATCTGTTACTTTTTGGAATGAATACTATTTTTATTAATTGATTATTAAGAAAGATCACTTTTTTATATGATCTTTTTGCTTGCTTTAAATATGTGACTGAAAAAAAGAATTCATCTTTTCGTTTATTTTAATAGCAAGAGAAGATTTTTCGAGAATTTATCTATGTTTGAGGAATTTGTTTTTCTTTTTAACTGCAGATTCTAAATCTTTGCTAAAACATCTTGTATATTTCTTTTTTTTAATATTATATTAGACTGGTATTGAAACAGTTATAACAACAGTTGATCCTCAAATGAGACAATATATTCGTATGTATTAATTTATTGTTAATTTTTCGAAAATAAAATTTATTTTTTTTAGAACCAGGACATGAAATTAATATCGTAGTTACATCAGCTAAAGATGTTAAACTTACACCTGTACGTGATGCATTTACACATGTATTTGGTCGCGTAACAACTCAAGGAATTGTAAGTTTCATTGAGTCCTTTTTTTTGGTATTTTTTATATTAAATTGTATAGGGTGTTCAATCAAATGTTGCTCCACAACCAGTCGGTTTTGAAGCTGGGTTTAAAGGTTTCTTTATAAGGAATTTTTTATAATGTGAAAATAAAAACATGTCATTTTTTAGGCGCTCAACAACGTATTGAAAATCTACGTCGTCAAAATGTTGTTCAACCTGATCAATGTGTTGTTTCAATTGAAAATTTTATTGCCGAACTTGTTCCAGATATGTATTTTGATCTTGGTTATGTACTTTTATCTGATCCATCAAATTCCATTGAATTACATCTATTCACTCAAGCTATACCCGTACCTATTGAATATGTATATCAAGCACGTGATCGTACACCAGCTGATTATCCATTAAAGTGGAGTGGTTATATGGTAACAATCGGAGAAATTCTTCATTCTCAATTACCATGGGTTAATCCAGAAGATTGGCATGAAATGATGAGTGGAACATCAAGACGAGATATTATATATGCAACATGTAAATCTCTTGCATATATGTATAAACAAAGACTTAATCGACAACAATAAAACATAATTATTTCTTTTTAGTTATTTCTCTTTTATGATTTCATTATTTTTGTTCTTTTGTTTTAAAAAACAAAAGAATATTTACTTGGAATTTATCTTTTATTGCACTAATAATTGTTGTCTTTTTCTCAATGTGTTATTCAATTAGATCAATAAGAAAAAAAGGTTCTCTTTATGTTAATGAAATCGATCTACGGAATTTTTCTGATAATATTAGGATAAAACAAATGTCTGATAACTTTCATTGCTATTAAAGAAAAACGATGGAAAAGATCATTTTAAGGATACAGATATGATTCGGACAATTGATGAAGAGTTATTACTAGAATTCTGAATCTAGAAACTCCGTTGGTCCATTCTGGCGGACATTTGGGACTCTCACTATTGCAAAACTAATTTTGAAAAAACTATAAAATTTTACCTAGAGTTAGCTTTCAACACAACAAATTGAAATATGTGAAGTCGTGAAATGGTCTCAACGGTTTTCACTTATGTAAGCGAAAATTACAATATTCGAAAGTTTTTGATACATATAGTTGTATATTGACGTAACCAGATACAGGTTCAGGTTTCCTCCATCATGAAATCTTAGAGCTCTCCTACATATGGTTGAATTCCGTTTAAAGAAGAAGCTTGAGCACCTTTCTAGAAGCATGAACAGAACGCCTCTGATTACGCCAATATAGCTATAGACAAGTTTTCAACTTTAGAAGAAACACATTCATTATGTATAGAAAGATGGGGGGAAAATATCTAACAAAAGCGTATTTTTGAATTTTTTCTCTGTAATGTTAAACAACTACTAGTAGATCAAATCCAGATAGCGATATTAATAGCCAATGGAGGTTTCTCTCTAAAACATTCTATAACAAAGATTTCGAAAAAATCACATACAGTAGTTTTTAGGTCCTGGGAGACTTTACCGGAGCTAATGTTTAACAATTCTATTTCAAGGAGTACAAAATGAAGGATTGCTGTATTTTCTACGACCTTCCATTAAAAGTGTAAAGCATCACAAACATTGACAAAGCAGACGTTTTTCAACGATTTTGTGATGAATTTCATTTTTTTAGGATTGTTTTGGTCTTTTAATTTATTAAGAAACCGTTGTAGAAAATTCGGCGACTCCTCATTTTGTGATATTTGAAATAAAATTGTTAAGCGATAGCTCCGGTAAAGCCTTCTAGCATCTGAAAACTACTGTGTCTGGTTTCTTTAGAAATCTTGGTATAGTATGCATTAGATAGAACACTTCATTGGCCGTTAAAATTATTATCTCGAATTGAGCTAATCACTTAACATTACAGGAAAAAAAATTAAAAATACGTTACTGTTAAACATTTTTCCACCACCTTACTTGTCGAAGTGTTCAAGTAAATTCACATTCATCAGAGATGGAAATCTTATATCAAGCTTTTTAATATTCATTATTTATTCTGAATATTATGTTTATTGTCAATGAAAATTAGAAATATTAGAATCATGGCTGAATAATTTCAAAAACTGTTAAGATGCTCTATTAACCCTTTGGGTCCCGGCGACGTATATATACGTCCTGGTATTTGTTCACTGTTGGTGTATATCCCACGTATTGGCTAGTCCCTGCAGGATTATTTCCTCTTAGCTTATTATCATTTTTGGGATATTCCAGGATGGGAATATTCCTTCTCTTTATCACCTTCTATAGTACTATGACCTGTAAGGTCCTAAAGGTCATAAGTTATCTCANTAAGTGTTTTTTTATGTGCATCAAACGTTTCACAGTACGAACAAATACAAAAAGGAAAGGAAATGAATAAAAATATTTTCTATTTTTATTCTTCACCCTTGGATTTAGAATTATTATCATCACAATTATCGTCATTATTGCTTTTTTATTATTATGAAGTGCTTTTGATAAAAATTTTCCAGCACATAGTGAAAAAAAGGAAAAGCAAATACAATTAAATAGAATAGGCAAGAGTTACAATTGCCCATGTGAAAATTTAAGCGAATAAGCTAGCTTAAAGTAGCTTAAATTTTAGCTTAGAAAGCTCTTGCAAGCGCACATTTTAAGCAACCCAAAAGTGCTTACAACCAGGAATTCAAGCACTTTAAAGCGCTTGTAGTTACACATTTAAGCGCTCCTAAGCACTGGATTTCAACGATTCTAACTTCTTCGACTATTGTTAGAAAAACACTATGTATGTATCAGATGAAATAAATAGAAATGTTTAGTATACACATGCATATTCTCTCTTCATTCTATTGATAGTATGAAGTGTAAAAAGTACTGCTGAAAAAAAATATTTAATTTTTGGACATTCTTCGTTATATCTACGGTCAATAATTTTAAGTAAGTGTTGTGTAGGACATCTGTATGTTAATATCATCTGACGCGTGCTTTAATAGCAGAAACAGTGCGAATACGAAGGGATCAACATCGTCGATGAAAACCATATCAACTGGTTCGAAATTTTTTATGTCGTGCAGAATTGATAAAAATTACATCATTAGAAAGAGCGTGAAAAACTGAGTATATGGTGAAATTTGCAGAGAGAGATCCTCTCTAGTCCCCAGCAAAAATTAAAAAAAAAAAGATTCTCCAACAAGATTCTCCAACAAGATCCACGACAATATCTTTTTTTCTTCTCTGTCTCTTTCTTCTTCTTTTTTCAATGTATACACGCTAGCGTACATGTGTATGGCTGTTCAGGCATAATGTATGCGATAGATGAAGGAAAGAAAAAAAAAAGGATTGAATATGCTTGTGATGTTGAGATGATGATTAAATTAATTCAGCTATAATTAAGCATTAAAATATTATGAGATAAATATTGAAATACTAATTCTTAAGTAAAAATCGATTTAAATAATTATCAAAAAAGAATTAACGATTATCCTGAGGTTCAACGATTGAAATTAGATTTAGATTGTTTAACAACATGTAAACATCTGTTTTCAATTCGACTTTTTTTTCATATGAATATTTATTTATATACTCTCTCTTTAATTTGAATCAAAACTCATCTGAATAAAATCATTATATGAGGTATTTATTAATATAAATTCTATCTTATTCCTTTTTTTTTTATTTGTTTTCTATCGATCATGATCATCATCATCGTTTCGATAGAAGACAAGTGAAGACTAGCAGCATCACGTGCATTCTTCAACAGACACTGTCTCTTACGGAATATTCACAAGCAATTTTATTTAAATAAATAGACAAAAATAAAATATTTCATATCAATCGAAAAAGAAGTTTATTCTTTTTATTAATAGAACGATAATCTTGATTCTATTTCTTTAAATTGATTTTTCAAACGAGAGTATCGATAATAAATTCTTCTCTATTTTTAAATGAAAATCCAATTCTCTTGATTTAAAAAGAATGAAATTCTTTCCTTGAGGAATCTTGTTATTATTCGTAGTTATTATCAAATGGAATCTTTTATTCTAAGTTTCTTGTTACATTTATTTCTTCTCTTTAAATATTATAAATCTTTTTGATTTCATTTACAAATAAATTTATTACAACAATCATGTACGTGAAAAAGATAAACAAATCGAACATAGAACAATGATTGATCTATAAAAATGTTTTGTAAATTGTTTAGAACGAATAGAGACGAGTTATTTATTTATTCTTCATCAGATAAAATTCATTATCATATTAATAAAGACCACTTCGATTTTGAACGATCTAAAATCAAATAAAATTATTTGAATATTTTATTTTCTTGTACAAAATTATCTCACTTTAATCTTGAACAAGACATGTATTGTAAGTATAGTTAATATGATCAGATTACACAGGCATAAAATAATAAAAAAAATAAAAGATTTATTTCTTTTTCAAGAATTTATCTAACTTCTTGTGTTGATTGACGATAAATTGAGATGGACGAGAAGAATAAACGAAGAAACTTCTTTTTTCAATTGACATTTGATTATCTGAACAAAGAAAAAATAATGTAATATTCATTAATATTGATCTTTATAATAAAAGATAAAAAATAATATAATAAACAGTGTTATTGACTCTTGAATTATTTGAATAATGATGATAAGATGAAAAATTTTATCTACTAAAAACTAAATAAAGAAAAATAGAAAGATTTTAAAAAAGTTCTTTTTTGTCTTTATATCAACATTAATATCGACGATTTTATCCTTTCCCTTGAGTACATTGTTCATAAGAAAACATACCCAATTTCAAATGGACATTTAAATTCAATCTAAATTCAATTGAGTTGAATCAAATAACAATGAAACAAAAGGGTCAGGATCAGTTTTTTATGTTTGCAAACACCAAAACCAACACCTTTCTGAAACCTGACAAATCATAAAAAAATTAAATGCATACAAAGTACAGCAGAAAAAGCAAAAAGATAATAATTAAAGAGCGAAAACGTTTGTCGTACCCTTAGTAATTTGTTTTTTTTTTTAATAAACCAGCATAGTTGATGTAATTTTAATTGTAATATGAAGTGAACGAAGAGGAGAAGGAGCAAGAAAGGCAAAGGAAAAGAAAAAATTTGTTATCTATGAAAACATTTTTTTTCTCTTTTTTGACATTCGGCCCGAATGAAGAAATATCAATAAAAGATTTTTTTTCTATTTATTTACATTATGTACATCATTCAGATGTATGAAATTAGAAAATTAGATAGTAAATTGAATAACATGAGCATTTAGTTTAATAATAAATCTAATAGATGCAGCAAAAGTATAAAACTACAAAATAAAGAGTAATAATTCTTCTTTTTATTTTTATAAGATGAATATATGTCTAATTTGTTTTCCATTTGTCATATGGAAAAGAATAATTTCAATCTCGTCCTTTTTTAGATCACGTACAATCATAAAACCTAAAGCTTTTATCGCATTGAACAATGAAAGGATTAAAAATAAACTCGAGTGAAAACAGTCACAAAGCTTTAATGAAACTAGTGCTGCTGTAGCTTACTTAATAGCCTTCGGAACAGTCCTTACAAATTGTAAAAGAAAAACCAAAA